CGGGGTAAATACAATTCAGACGGTGCCCGATGATGCCGGATTACTCATCCGGCAGGGGCTTCTAGTGGGCCAATTTTGATGACAGGCGGCCGGCAGCAAGAAGCCAGCTAGGGAAGCTGTCACTCAGCCCCATGTATGGTGCTACGGTGATGAGGGTATCAATCATTTGCAGGAACTTATACTGTGTATTCAGATTATGAATAATTGACGAGATTCAAAACGGAAGCAGATACATGTGAGTATCCTCGATTAGTGATGGATGAGAGTCGACCTTGAGCGGGAGGCTGTCGCATCCGCTTTGCCATGAACACGCCAAGGACATGCGCTGCACCTAAAAGCTTTTCCCATCATCGATTTTCCTGCGTATGGTGGCAAGGACATGGTAGTCATGGCATTGGGCTTGCATTAGATAATGAACCCACTCCTGCAGAACCGCAATTAGTCAGAAGCGAAAAGAAATGCGTGCAAAAAGACAATTTTCTTTGAGCCACAAGAACTTGTCACTCACCTCGACTGAAGTAATTCTCGATAAGTCTTCGTATGCAGATTTATTCGTACCTATGTATGTATGTATAAGTATTAAGTAGTTCCAGTCCGTGCCTGTCTGTTGATAACTATTGTTGAAAACACGCGCCTGCCGCTCGTGTGATTCCAGCTTAATTGGAAATACTCGGAGACAACAGCCAGATGCGGCAACAGCAGTTGGGCAATTGAAAATGTACAATAACAATCAAATGAGTTATTCATCATTTCCCCCAGCTACCTATGATGAACAAACAAAGTTTATCAGCTGATTTTCATTTGTCAGCGATCAAAGTAATTGAACTGAATGGATTGAAACGAGCGGCTGGGGATGGAGCCCGCTCAGGACACCTTTTGATTTGTGCATGGATCGATAAAAGATGATGACGGAATGTGAGAATTTCCACTTGTTCTCTTTCATAAGAATACGGAATCCAAACTTAAATTCATTCAACATCATTCTAGTACATTATACAACCAAAAGCATGCCAAAAGAATTATTTGAATTTTTTTGGCATGCCAAAAAATTGAATTTATTTAATTTCTTTTCGAATCAAACATTTCTATTTATAGCAGTAAACCGTTGACATACATCGTCAAAGAATTAAGTAAGTACATATTTACCATATTTTGGGATAGAGAATGTACGAGAGAAGCGAGGCATCTGCAGCAGGTAATTCTTAATCGGACGCGGGCAGCGCGACCCTGACATTGAAGTCCGCAAATACATAGAAAGCCAAAAGGCATTTCATTCGTCTCTTTAGCACCGAATTCCCCCAATGCTATAAATTTTACTTTTTCGTACTACTATGCCAGGCATGCGCTGCGCTACTCGGTGGGCATTCGATTTATCTAGATTCTCTTCTATTTTTTGTGGGGAAAACGAGACGTCACCGGTTACCGGAACAATGGCCACGAGCCCCCGCCGTGATCGCTGGCGCTCTGATGACCGAATCTTAAAATACGTTTCCGCATTGATGGGTGGTTGGTCTGGGCGGCTCTAATCGGTCGTCGCCCAAGAGGAGGCGTTGCCCAAACAGACTGGCGCAAGGCGAGCCAAGGAATGTTTGCCCCTGACAAAGACAAAGTTTGCTGGGAACTTTTCAGGGGCAATCGGAACGAACATGGCCACTGACCACTGACCACGTTCCCACATGCCATCAGTGTTCCAAACGGTTCGGTGGCCAGCACTGACCACGCCAAAATGTGTGCATCGTTCCCAGCTGTTGCCATCTGGCGGGGATGTGGGATGTGGGTGGGTAAAATATTTTGGGCCGTTGCCAAATCAAAAATGCCGGCAAAATGAAAAATGCCGTGGCTCCCTTCATGCCTGCCGCAGCGGAAAAAGTGAAGACCCTTTGGGAATCGCCCGTTTACTCATCGGTTTAGCCCATCAAGTGTGCAACATGTAGCAAGGGTGTTTTATTATCCGAATCCTTAACCTAGTTTATTGGGGATCCTTGTGACCGTTCGTTCAGCCAGCACGCGCCAGAGAAAGTCATGACCAAGCGAACGGGTTTGTCCAATGTCAATGGTGGCAGATGCCGCAGTCGAAGAAGAGCAAGAATCCACTCAGAGATCGTGTGCCCCACATTAAAATATATGTATATATATAAAATTCGCTTTTTTCAAGCCTCGGTATCGGAAACGAAATGAAATTGCGCCGCAAGCAGAAAAAGAAAATCGGTCTCCTGCTATAAATATTGCCTCGGTCCGTAGCCAATCTATAATTGTACGAATTATATAAATATTTGAATAGCATTAGCATTTGCACGGATTTACAATATGTGTGTGCCTCCCGCCAACTATGTACACTTGGATTTATGTATGTAAATATGTAATAGGCATTTGTCGCCAGGGGATATGTAGATCAAGTTTAATTTAATGCCAAAGATAAGCGAAAACGCCAACAGCAATCCAAAGGAACAGAATCGACGAAGTGGGTATTCCCTATCCTGGAGAGATGAACCACAATCACATTAATTTCACAAGCGGGTTATTCTAGGGCATGTACCCACCCAAGTTCAAATAAAACTCTTTTCAGAAATGTGTTGAGAAATGACAACAAACTACGATGCGACGTGTGAACTGCAAAATTCGTGATGTTTCCAAAGCAAAACAAATGGAACGCCAAAACGACTCGTCCATGGGATAACAGAATGCTGTATGCTCTACATATTTAAGAGTTGGATATCTGGGGGCGGACGGTCCCGTTTTTATAAAGAGAAAGTCCCACCGTTGAATGCCTAAGAGATACTCGTAACCAGCACAGATTTTAGGGGGTATCAAAAGAAATTATGACTTCATTTTCACTTTAAGCTTCATATCGATACGAATAAGGAAAGCTAAAGCACATACCTATCCTTAGAAAGAGTATTTGACTCGAAATTCACGAATAATCGAAGCTAAAAATGGGTGTTATTTGCAGAGAGTCAGACAACAGAAAATAAACAATATTGTTATTCTTTTCAATTGCGTCAATGGAGAGGAGATACAAATCTTGGGCCAGGTGCGGGGTGTAGACAACAAGTGTTTGCCTACCTTACTTGGCCATGTCCGTCCGTCTGGTTCTCTGTTTGGCTCTCTGTCTGGCTATATCTGTGTGGTCGTTGTCCGGTCTGATGTCTGGGCCCTGCCAACACTTGGGCCAACAAATTGCATCGATCATAATCTGCGACCGGATCAGTAAACAAAAATTGTAAACGGATAGAAGCGGTTCTCCGTCATGTCAGGCGTTTTTCGCTTTCTGTTTCTTCCGGTAGACGGGCGCTGAATACGTATTATTTTTGATGTATCTGATGTTTGTTTATTTTAAGTTGGTTTATTGACACAAACTGAGAATTGTTAGCACGGCAACAAATTTTGGAAAGGGCAGAGGGAATGTTCTTTGAAGTGGATCTTTAGCAGTCTCAGCATAAATAAACTTCTCTACAGCCTCAGATTTGCTTCTGGGATTGTTCTGGGAAATGGGAATTCTTGCCAATCAGCGGGAATATTAAAAGCATTATGAACAGCCGACGCAGCTGAGAACCATAATTGTGGAATGTTCTCTCAGGCACTCACTCGGTCGAGGCGATCCACGTATTTCATTGCGCGTTGGCTTTACAGAATTTTCCCAATTGCGTTCTATGTAATTTCGCCCGCCTCTCGGCAGCAGGATTGGAAAGAGCAACCATTCCCATAAGGTACCAAACCCGTAAGTATATCACATCAATTTATTTTTATTGAAATTTCAGCCGTAGCGTGACTAATGTCGCAGGTGACGTGACGTCGTCGGTACCCAGAATGGTTCGCTTGGTTCCCCCATGGATGTACATATGTACATGTATGAATTATTAATAAGATAAAAATGTGTGTGGATTCATCATTCTATGCAATTATTGCAGTTAAATCAATTAAATTTGATATTATTTGCCAACTGTTTGTTTTGTGGTTTCAAAATAAATTATATTTGAATATACATATGTGCTTGTGTGCATGTTCTTATATTGTATGTAAGAACCATTCTAGTGCTATACCCGGCAGAATCCATATAATTCCCCTCTCTTCTTTTTTGGTTCCGGGCCAAGTTTTCCCTCTGCCAGAGACGCTCCAAAGTTCAAGGACGCCTCCAGTCGGGGATGGCAGCAGCTGCTCAAATCACACAACAACCAAATAATGGAGGAAGTAGTTTCGGGGGAAACGAAATCTAATTTGCATAGATAAAAACGTTGGCAAGAGTTTAAATTTAAAAGATGTGCTACGAAAAATCAATATTTACCCTTACTATAATTAGTGCACGCAAAAACGTGGGCCGCGACAGGGGCCGGGCTTTTCCGCCAGTGGAAAATGATTGGAAAAAGCGTAATATGTAGCAGCTAAGCCGCTGAGGCTATCTTATCATTCGTCACTCGGCGGCGGGGCTGCCATAAATAATCTGAATGAACAAAATGAATTGCCTGGAAGGCGATTTTCGGTGTCCATGTGCTATTCCGATTTATGACACTCGCAAGCTTATTTGCTAATTAATTATCAATTTTATATGACAGCCACAGACTTGCGGTGGGATAACCAATTAGTTGAGAAACTCCATAATGTGGTTGAAGTTCCGACTGGAGTGTGTACTGCGCATAAGATGACACAGAACCCCCAAGCTCAGACCTGGTTTCGGTTTCAATTGCGTCTTATCAGCTTGCATAGCTTTGCTTGATATGTTGTGCTAATTGCCGATACAATCAACTGCCCAACCAGCTGCCACTGGCATGTGGCACGTGGCACTTTGGAATCAATATATACCATGGACCTTGACTTGATTGTAATTCTCTTTTGATAGGGTTTGTTTTGTTTTGCTTCTGTGTCTTATTTTTTCTGGGAATGGAATAACAATCGAGCAAAACGAGACCCACAATACCAACCAGAGGATTACAATTTTAAACAAAAATAACTCTTACAGACTCGCAATGGTTAGAACAATTAGATAATGAAAAACGTTTCGCTTACACAAATTTTTGTTAATTTATTTGTTATGAGGTTTGTTAAAACCACGTTCTTCTTATCCGTGTTCGATTAATGCCCAACAATGAAAACCAAAAGCCGACAAAGTTCTAGCCTAAAATGCCAGTCTGATATTCCCGGGAAAACAAAATAATAATACAAAAAAAATTAAAAACAAATCAACTGGCACAGTCCCCAAATTGACTTTTACATTCAGTTAGCTTTCATGCAGGAGGGTGGAATAAGTGGGATGGGATTGGAGGGGAGGGGATCGATCTGCCAGCCCTTTAAGACCTATAGATACAGCAGGCTATCATCATACGTGGGGGGTGGGGAATATGATCTGACTACCATATATGACCTTTAAAATAAATTAGTTTTCATTCAGGATCCGCTGTTCCGCTGCCTTAAGTCCTATACAGCAGTATTGCGACCTTTCTGCGTGCCCTATATGTCATATATGTACATTCAGTTAGCTGATAGATAGATAGATAGAGAAGAAAATTTGCCTAACATAAGTGAGCTTTACATTCAAATAGTTTCCATACAACATAATGTAATAGAATGGAACGGGTCATACATTCAATTATCTCCTTAGAGGATGTGGGCATAGGGATGGATGGGTTGGATATGTCTGGGCTGTGGGATCGTTCTGCTACCTACACTTTCGTTTTCACTTACAAAATTCGAGTTGTGCTTAACGGCTACGATGTAAACAAGTTCTACGAAAGAAATCTAGGATTGCAATATGTTTTGGGGGATGGGGGAGTTTGGTGTGGAGTGCTATATACTAGTACGACAACTAATGTGGATAGTACAAAAATATATATATATGTATATATATCTATATAGGCATATGCATAATCTATATGGTCTAGAGGCCGAGCAGACATTCGGACATGCCTACTGCGGCATACTCCGCGGGCTACGCCTGCGTCACAAAATAAACCTCGCCGGAGGAGCCGACCACAACAGCATGTGTGTCCCCGGGTGCGCTGGTGCCAAGGCCCCCGGGGGCAGCGGCAATCATGTTGGACATGTCGGTGCCATTGCTAACGATGCTGACAGCGCCACTGAAGGCGGCATTGCTATTGCTGGTGGCGTCGCTTATCTGCGCTTCGCTGTGGTCCGTGTTCTCCACGTGCTGCTGGAGCCCGTCGATGCTGTCGTAGAGGGTGGAGCACTCCCCACACTTGTAGAAGGGATCGATCACGTCGGGATGCTTGCGCTCCACGTGCCAGCGCAGGTTGGCGGCCGACGAGAAGTTCTTGCGGCAGTTTGAGACGCCGCAGCAGTAGGCCCTCTGCTGATGCGTCTGCCGGTGCCGATAGAGGATGGCCTTCGACTTGAACGTGCGATTGCAGATGGTGCAGACGGGGGTGTTGGTCTCGGCGTCGTGGGTCTTCATGTGCATGCGCAGCATGCCGGGACCCTTGAAGCTCTTCAGGCAGATCTGGCACTGCGGCTGCTTCTTGCAGTTGGCCCGAATCCAGTTGGTGTGCGAGTGCATGTGGTTCTGCAGTCCCTTGAACTGCCGAAACTCTGTGCTGCACAGGTGGCAAACGTACCGCCCCGAGCCTAGAGGGGAGGTGTGCTGCTTGATGAACTCCGTCACCAGATTGGCGTCGATCTCGTAGTTGTCGTCCGCCCCGGCAGCGGCTATAACGCTGGCTGTTTGGACCAGCTGTCGGGAATTGGCAGCCGCCAGCTTGCTGCTGATGGCAGGTGGACTGCTCTGATGATTGCACAGCTCCAGCGTGACGGCGGATGCCGATGTGGACTGGTTGCCTCGTTTGGCCCGTTTGGGCGTGGGACTGGGGGAACTGACGCTCAGTGTGGGGGTTCCCATATTGTCGTCTGTCGTCGCCTGACTGAACTCGACCACGGCATTCTCCAGGGATATGCTTTGCAGCTCCATCCCCTCCATGTCGTCCTGATGGTGCTGGTGCAGCTCTACGTCATCCGCATCCATGAAGGCTTGCTCCATGTCCGCACTGGCCTCGCCATCTGTTGGTTCCATGAAAGCCTGCTCGAGGTCCCCACTGGTTTCGCCGTCTGGTGGCTCCATGATGGCGTAGTGCAGCTCATCGTCCATATCCCCGCTCAGATTATGCTGGTCCGTTTCGTCTGTGATGTACTCACAGTCGGGGGTTATGGTCTCGTCGGCCTCATCCATCAAGTCCTCCTCCTCCAGCTGGATTTCCTCTATGATAAATCTGTCCTCATCCTCCTCGGTCTTCAAGTCGCTGTCTTCGAGCTGCTGCTGATCCAAATCATCGAAGTATTCGGGCTCCTGGCCCTCACTTTGGGTCAGGTCGTCCTCCATTAATACCTGATGCTGGTGGTCCTTCAGGAATTCCTGATGCTGCTCTTCATCCAGGACGATCGTCTCGAACGATTGACCCTTGCCATCGAGACTTTCATAGACCTCCTCGAATTCCTCGTCTTCCACATCGCAGCCGTCTTCCAGGAGATGCACATCGGCATCTGCCAGGGAGCCGGCCCCGTTGTCCATGTTCACCGGGGATGTTGTGGTCACTGTTGTCACGCCCGTGGGCGCCATACTCCTCTGCGGCACCAACTGGACGAGCTGCAGCGTCTGCGTACCGTTTGGCTGCTGGACTATCTGCAGGGTCTGTCCGTTGGGCGCCTGAAGGATATGTGGCAGGAACTGTGCTTGCTGGGCGCCCCCATTTCCGTTGGCCGCTCCGTGCGGCGCAGTGCTGATGATCTGCGCCAGCTGTGGGGCCACGATCTGGGCAGTTGTGATGAATTGACCGTTAGGCAGCAGGATCTGCTGGGGCATCGTCCCGGCGGTTGTGGTCGAAATTAGGTTGTGGGTGGGGGCTTGCTGGAGTGTTGGCAGTTGAATTTGCTGAAGTTGCTGCTGCAGCGTGGCTTGCTGCTGCGGCGGGGCTGGTACTGGCTCTGGCATGAGCTGCATCTGGGCTGGGGGCGACGCTGCGGCTGACTCAAGGTGCCGCAGCTTGATCTGTCGCGAGCCTTTCTTCAACAATGGCTTCAGCTTGGGCTTGCTTTGGATGTGCTGTTGCTGTTGCTGCTGCTGGGCCATTTGCTGCTGGAACTGATCCTCCAGCTGCTGTTGCTTGAGCTGCTTCTGCAGAAGCTTCTGCTGTTTGCGTTCCTGCTGCTGCTGGTGCTTTGCATTGGCCGCCGACTGCTCCTCCATCGCCATGCGCACTGTGAGCCCTGTGATGTACTCACGCAGCTCCTTGTCGCTGCGCTCGACGAGCGTCTTGAAGGCGTGGTTCCGGCTCACAGAGTGGACGCACTGCACACAGATCTTGTCGGGCCAGCCCTCCGTGGGCACTATTCGCACGCTGGTGCAGTCCATCAACATCTCAGGCACCTTCTCGGTAAACAGAGGACGCATTTCCTTCCGCTCAGAAATGCAAAGGCGACATATTTTGTCCAACTCCAGGGCTTTCTTGCGATCCATCATTGATAAAGCGATTGAGTCTTCAGTGGGATTCTGCAACAAGAGATCGATGTGAAAAAACGCCTACAAGCTGTGTTAATCTTTCAAAATGAGCACCGAGTACGGGTGCGGGGTTTCCAAGCGGCAGCCCAATCTGTTTTGTATTGTCCCTGGTCATTGCTATTGTCTGTCTTTCACTTTTCGCGCCAAATTTCATTAATTAAAAATGTAATCAACGGTCAGCTGCGAAACCTGACGCTGTTAGGAAGCAGCTGTTAGGAAACAACAGCACTGTTAAGTTCCGTTTATTACTGGTCTGGTAGCTCTGCGGCCGCAACTGGGGCGAGACAGAGACAGCTATACTGTTATACACAATTTACCATCTTGGTGTTGGTGTGAGCGAAAAATCCTATTTTCAGGCACAAAAGCGAAACAAATACATAATCTTTGGGTTTTGGGCCCAAATTCAAGAAATATCTAAGCAGCGCTTTCATTCACCTGCTCCCGTACTCGATGCACACTTCACTGGGGATTTACACACACGTAAATTGCTGTTTTTATGCACTTACCTGCGTTTTATTTATGTAATTTTCGTAGCTCGCGCGACATTCAATATAACAATTCCTCAAATATGGCCGCGTCACACAATTTCTGCATAAAGTTCACACATTTTGTTTTTTCTGTTTTGCACGCACAGCACACCGTATCAAAATAATGCCACACCAGAGGGTTATTCTGGGGCAAGCTAACCAAGTATTACTGGATATCCTTTCCAGGCGGGGTATGGAATTAATACAAATTTGATGAATGAATTTCCTATTTCTTTCTACGCGAAGGAGCTGTAAATGGCTCTGTTTGTCTTTCTCTGTGTGTGAGTGAGACGATAGGCGTGTTTGATTGCGGCGCTGCCAACTGACTGAAATAAAAAAAGCACTAACTTTAATCAGGAGATGGGAGAAACTGAGGAAACCATTTATCGTTATCGGACCTCCCCCATCTCTATTAAGACCAAAATAAACAATCCAATCGCTCGACCCTATGCACCACCAGAATGCACCCAAGAGGTGTGGTATGCTAAGATATTTAAGAATATATCCAAGCAACTATATCAAATATAGATGGAAAAGCCAGGCACCTGGGCACCGTATCATATGCGAACAAATGAAATGGCATTCCAAATCCCTCAGCCCTGACGGAACTTATGTGTCCGTTCAGCTATACATCCCCCCTAGTGGAACGACCACTTTTAATTTAGACGTGTCCAATATATTATGTTCCTGTCATAGACATTGATTGATGAAGCTCTTACCATATTTTTCTATTGCGGGCTTAATTTAATATTTACCATCTTAAGGACGTTCACGTGCCATGGCAGCACCTAATAATTGAGAAAAATTAGTACTTAAATGAAGTAAAAAATACAATTTGGCAACTGACAAGTGACATTGAAAAATAATTTTAGAAAAACCTGTGAATGGGGTGCTTATATCAATATTAATTAATTCAGGCTGGTGGCGGGCTTGTGTTGGCCACATCGTACTTCTGCCTCTTTTTGTTCTTTCTGCTTTGGGTGCGGACGATGGCGTACACGCCGACGATCCCAGCCACGGCAACCAGAAGGCAGGTGACCACAAACCAGCTGTAGAAGCCCGGCTCATCCTCGTCCTCTGTTGCGTTCTCCCATTCGGTGAAATTGGTTCCAGATCCATTCAGACTGAGTCTCGACAGATGCTGCTCCCGGAATATCGAAGCCTTCACGAGATTGTTGGACTCGGGAGCCTCAAAGGCCGGCTCTGTGCTGTCTATTCTGACGAAGGTAAGCCTGGCTCCGCCTATTGGCTGCCTGTAGCGCCGCAAGCCGTTTCCATAGTACTCGTAGATGTCCGCACTGAACTCTCGGTGCTGATCCACCCACTGACCAATCACCTGCACCTTCACTTCGGTCCTAGGATCCATGCTGCGGCCGAAGTATGCCTTCTGGTCTACGTCCAGGCCGCCCACACCGTCAGCATCAAGTTCCAGGACGGAACCACGATGCTCGAACAACAGGGGAAGCTTCGTGAGGTGCTCATCCTGGTAAATGCTGCTCGTGTTCAGGTGGATCTTCTCCACAAACGCATAGTTGATGCTGCCATAGATGGGCTTGCGCTCGCCGCTGGGATTCCTCAGCACGCTGTCGCCCAGATGCATCTTGTAGCTGTTGGTGATATTGCGCCAGGGCATGTAGGTAATGTTCCGCAATTGGTACATCAGAGGCTCCAGCTCAACCAGCACGTTTATGTTGTCCTCCAGGCCATACTGCAATATGCATAGGAAAGGAAGTTATTTGGGAGAGCGGATTGAGCACAACTGCTAGAGTAACTTACAAAGTTATCGCCGAATATCATGACCACACAGGTGAAGAGATTATCGGAGACGGCGTTGACCAGATCCGTGTGCCGGAAGTGGCACAGCTCCGTCTTCTCCCTCTCCACATTCGTAGCCTTGGCAATGTACGTGAGCCGCTCCTTGGGATTCAATTCGGGGGCATAGAATTTGAGTATCATGGGGTAGGGCACCCAGGCGAGAACGGAGCTGCCATCATTGCTGCATATTTCCGACTGGGAGCCACGGCCGCTCAGCTCGCCATTGTGCAGCTTGAAGAAGTGATGATTGTCCCTCTTCACTGTCGTGGAGCCGTGGTCCGTGCACATGGTATCGATGAAGCTCTCCTGAGGATTAGCAGGGCAAGATAAAGTGGTGAAGAGGAAACACTTGGGTGTTCGTCAATAAGTTGCCCTTATCTGGCCTATTCGCCATTATCTCCCTATCGTCAAGCTAATTCAATTTGGAATATCATACGGCAGACACACGCGGCACACGACGAATGATCTATTACTCATATTGGCATTGAAAGTGTCGTTTAAGGATGGGGCTCCATCAAACCTGTTTCTACCAATAATTCATCGATCGTTTGATTGATCAACCATTTATGTATGGCAGGGACAAAGTGTGACATACAGAACCCCGACTGAACATATATCTAAACCTAAAGCTTTAAATTGATACTACCATGGTTAAATGTTTCACCTTTTCTTTGGACGTCAACGTTGTGGCCGTAATTTGGCATTTCAGATCCTTTTCAGTGGGGATGACCACATGGCGATCAATATCCGCGAGCAGCAAGGGCTGCGTCTCTATGCAGAAATGAGGGTGCTCCTCAAACGCCGTGCAAAGCGTCAGCCAGGTCACGAGGCCAATTATTGTTTGAATAAACATTTCCGCTGTTCTGTTGTTCCGTAGCCGAGAGTTCTTGGGACTCCTGTGTCGCGCAATCGATCGAAACGCTCACTGTGGCTGGCAAATCGTAACTAAATTTGCAATTTTAAATTGACAACTTTGTGATGGACAACTATTCGAACGCAACGCATTCAACTTGACCGCAAAACATCAGCAGCCACGATAAACGACGAGCCGTTCGTCCGAATATAACCATATTTATCTACTGATGAAGGATTTGCCCGAGATTCATTACGATTTTTGGTGGTGCGAGAGTTGAACGCGGGGCGCGCTGGCCATAGCATAGCCGAAGCAAACGTCGAACGAAATACAATTGATTAGCGTCTCACCAATGCCAATGAAATGAGTAAGGCATATGCTACGGCCCGAGCGATGGGGAGTTCATTTCCCAAATTTGGAGCCCACCGTCGCCGATAAGATAAACGCGAAGCGATGCAGGCATTTGTGGCTATTTCTGATTAGGCGGAGGTGTCTCTGGTGGTACATTCAACTATGTACATATGTATGGCATCGCTATGCTCCTGAGAGGGATTCACGACGGACAATACGCGTACGTACGCTTAACGCTAACAAGATTACTCACGCATGTGTTTAATAGAAAAAGTATACATCTTTTATAGCTTTGTACAGTTGAAATTGTTGAACAATATTCGGTTGCTTACAATTTATAAATTGGTTTCTCACAGACGGTTTTGTGAAGCAGATTTTCGATTACAATTGAGGGCTTCTTTAACGCTCTTTTCTTATGCTTTTGTACAGTTTTCAAACACAACATGGTTTAAATTTAACATTCTACAAACTAGGACTTAGACTATTGAAGATTTGGATGTTCGTTCCTGCTCATTTCGTGCACGCTGCGATAAGAATGGGGAAATAAACGACGACACGACACGAAACGAGACGAGACAATGGGAGAAGGAGCAGGGTGGTGGGTGTTTATACTCAATCTAAGGATGGAGAAAAGACAAGTCGTATACGAACAGAATCTAAAGAATACGAGGTATTACCATCACTGCTGCCGTCGTCGAAGGCGATATCGCCGAGATCCATATCGATATCGTCATCGCCATCGCCATCACCATCATCGTCGTCGGTATCAGAGTCGGCAGAGTCGAGTAGATCGACTATGTCATATCCATCGTCCATGTCATCCCCATCCTCATCGTTGCTCGAAGAGTTTAAATTGCGAAGCATCGGAAATTCCATAAAATTCGGACCTAGAGCAAATGCTGAATAAGCGATAAGAAAGACTTTTGGTCCCAAAAACACGATATAAATGATTGTGGGACTCACTGTTTTCGGAACCCGTATCGGAGCCGTCCTCATCAGATTCGGGCACCTCCTCATCATCTTCCTGCAAGCATAGACATAATATTTAATTCAATATCATCCATACGCCGCATAAGAGCTCTGAGATCGATGGCAGCGTTGACGCCGCCACCGCCAACTCCAACTCCGTTGCCATTGCCATTGACATTGCCACCCAGTGTACGTGCTCGCCGTCGCACGCCAACAATTGAGCTGTTGGGTGCATGCTGGCGAGAAAGATTCGGACTTGCGTTCGAGGCGGGACTGTCCCGGCGTGGCCGCGGGTTGTTTTCCAATTCGATGTTGGCCCGAAGCAATGCACTTTCTGGCGCCCCGCCACCGGGAGGTGGGCGCGACACATCATCAAAGACACGAAGTAGAGCTTCGCCAGCATCGCCATGAGCGTGCGGGGCATGTGCAGGTGCCTCCGCCTCGGCGCTATTGCGTCCGCCCACCTCGTTGGCTAGATCCTTAACCGCACGCACCTCTTCCGATCGCTCGCTCTTTTTCACGCCAACCGCATAGATCTTCACATAAGTCTCCTGCTTCGATTCGTAGCCACTGTAGTCCTCGACCACGGCAATCAGGCTCCCGTTCGCACTGACGCTAAGGTCATTGATATTCCGCTTCACATCAATGGTGGCTATGCTCGAGTAGTCGTAGGCGTCGAGCACGTTGAAGCTCGTATCATAGGTGGTGGTTTCCATGTCATGGTCCCTGTCCGTTCCCAGGCTGGCCCCATAAATCACATGCATGGGCGAGAAGGTGCAATTGCGCTGATCCAGAACTGGCACCGTCTGCAGCAGATGGAACGTGCGCAGGTCCCACACCTCAGTGTTGGATATAATCTGTGGAAACGAATATCGTCAGCATCAACGCCAGATGGGTGGTATTGTTACAGTACCTCCAGACAGTTTGGATGGAATACTCCCGATATGCACTGATTGAATTTGTCAAACTTGTGGATCTCCTTGCCGGAACGCACATCCCAGAGCACACCATCTGAAACAGAAAGAAGCATTCAATTATGAGTTCAAGTAAGGGCTGCCTGGCACTTACCCGATAAAACCAGTTCGTCGGTGCGGCAAAGCGTAGCCCGGTTCTTGGTATACTGGTTGGGTATGGTGGGTGTGAAGGTGGACAGCTTGGAGCCCGTGTTGATGTCGAAGAGCGTCGCACACTGAAGAGAAAAAGCGAGTCAGAGTTGGTGACACCATGGGGGGGAGGGGCAGTCTTTACTCACCTCGTTCTGTGTACCCAAGAGACGGTCCTGCGCGGTCTGACTGAACTCGCAGTAGGTGACATCGGACAGGGTCAGCTTAGACTTGAACTCGTTGTCCGCAATGGACCATAGGATGCTGGTGGGAGTGCGCCAGAAGCTCGATGTGATCACCAGATCCCCAGCTCGATTCGCCTTGATCGCATCCACACTGAAGTTGTGACAGTTGGAGTAGAACTGCTCGACGCCGTCGTTCATGTTGAAGACCCGACCATCGCCCTGCTGGGTGCCCACAATGATGTACTTGCCCACGAGGTCGCAGCAGGTGAACTCCAGATCCTCGTACTCAGCCGAGCGTATGGTGCGCCAGGGAGAGAAGTGCGTGTGCACATACCGACGGTCAAAGCGTCCCGTGGTGAAGCCTGCCTGGGTGCGGAAGTGACGACTCGTCAGATTGTAGTTGGAGCTGAGCAGACGGCTGGGCCGTGGATCGGGGCACTTGTGCGGCTCGTACAGATCGAACTGGGGGCAGGTCGTCACCGGGTTGTTGCACAGCGAGTGCTGGTTGGTTAGATACTCCGTCACGATCGTGTTCAGGGTCACCCGCTTCGGGTGCAGTGGTACCGAGGAGGCAAAGTCTTCCGGCAGACCCACAGCGCTACAGCCGGGCTCGGCAATCTGTTTCTGTATTGATCGGCTCACAGAGCTGATGGAGCGTTCAGTTCGCCGTATCTTGATTGGCGTCTGGACGGAGTTGAGGCTACTAAAGTTGGGTATGCTGGCTGTGGAGGTGCTAGCCCCGCCGTAGGGCGAGTCCTCGCCAAAACTTCGGTTCATCTCGCCATTCGACATGATGGCGGCATTTACGTCCTGCATGCGGCTTCTCAGGCGACTCCTGGAAATGGAGCTGCCGCTGGAGAGAGCTTTGTAGTCGAACGGCGACTGATGGAAGCTTCTCGTGGTGGGAGTCTGCAGCGGAAGTCCCACCTCGCGCTGCAGCAACTGGGCCGTCTGCGTGAGGCCCTTGCTCTCCAGGTGCTCGTAGATCAGCTGGTAGAGCTGCTGCTCGTTGTACTGGATGCGGGTCTGGGCAATCACGTTCGCCTTGTGCATGTTGGAGAGCGACGGATCCAGCGGATTGTTCAGGGCCTTGGTCTTGCCAGACACTCGCTCAAGCAGCTCCAGGGCATACTTCTGGAAGATCACATGCTCGGCTCTCTTCTCCTGCAGAATGGGATCCCGCATCAGGCACTGCAGCTGCCCGCCGGCGAACAGGGGCAGCTTGCTGACGATCTGCCTGACGCGGTCTGATCTGGCCAGACCGGCCAGAGCTCGACAGGCCATGCCTCTGATGCAATCAGCGTCTGTGATGGGACCCTTGGTCTGCATCAGCGACAGCAGGACCACAATCCCATTGTTGGAGCATACAGACTCCCACACCTTCTCGATCAGCTCCTCGGCATATTTGTGGTTGGCCTTGTTCTTCCTGGAGGAGTTGCCAAACTTAATCAGGCTGTTGCCGCTGTCCTTGCGTATGATCGGCGAGCAGACGCAATGGCAGAGCACGGCAAGAGCCGACTTTAGCACCTCGGCGTCAGAGGTGATTTCTCCGGCCGCCGCTCCCAGCACCGAACAGAAGCCCGAGGTGGTCGTCTTGTCCAGCATTTGTATGCGCTCGCAGAGCACCACATAGACCCGGGGAATCACACAGCACACGCTGAGCGCATCCAAGGCAGATCGAACCGTCTCCGAGCGACCGCTGTTCACCCAGTCGTAGCTGAAGGCTATAATTCGCAGCAGCATTGAGATCCCGCCCAGCTTCATCAGCTGGTCGACGGGCTGCCAGTGGCCGCGGATCGATGTGTGCTCCTGGAGTGTGCGAATCTGCTCGTGCAACTGGTCGAAGGTGAGTTTGGCCGCCACAGTGGGATTCTGGTTGAAGTAGTTCGATGACGAGGGCGAGGAGGAGGTCGCATAGTGCTGCGACAGGAAGCTGTTGTACTTGAAGAAGAAATGCGCCTCCATATAGCGCTTGAGGGCCACGCAGACGTGACGCACCATCTGGCGAGAGGCACACTCCACATCATCGTTAATATCCGAATCGTTGTCGCTGTCATTCTGGCTGGGATCGAGTATCTTCAGCACGGATATCTGAAATATATACCCACAGAATCAGTCAATCTGCTTGGATTTGAGAGCGTTTAGAGCTACTTACAACATTGTAAAGCTTACGCAGACCATCCTGGGCATCGAACTCGTCCAGAATCACCTTGAACTGGAAGCTCAGACTGAAGAACATGGTGGCATGGCACTTGGAGGAGTCATGGCAACGACCCAATATCCACAGTGCGTAGCGTACCAGCTCCGAAATGAGCGGCCGTTGCATGCTGCATATGCGCTCCATGGCATCCTCGCAGTACGCCAGATAGTAAATGGCAATGGACACGCCCGTGGTGGCCAGACTAGGGCGGGGTACTTTCAGCAGCAGCTAAATAGGATAAGGCCACATCTATGAGATATTTTCCAGGAGTTTCGCCCTGCAGATTCACTTACCTCCAGCCCGCCGTGGGATATAAACTCCAGAGCGAATTTCTTGTGGCACAGCAGGGAGGCCAAGTACTTAAGCACCTCGTAGGCGAGGCAAGTGTCGCGGCGATCCAGGTTCTCCAGATAGCCGAATATCAGCTGCATCACATTATTCTCGAAGGCCATGGCCAGGAACTCCTGATACTCGCCGAGGCTGGTGAGGAAGCGCATAATCAGCTTTTGGCTGGCATCGGCCGTTGGTGGGTGCAGCGGTATGTACATCCGCTTGTAGTAGCGCGACTGGGAGAAAGCATCGCGGCTGTTCTCGAAGAGAATCGACATGTTGGAGGCATCGCCATGGTTCGAGCTCGCAACGCCGCTTCCGTTGTGCTGCGGTGACTGCGGAGCCGAGGCACCGTTGCCGCAGGCCATCCAACAGAGCAATCCGCCAGAAGCGCTGCTCTCGGCTGAATAGTTAAGCGCCGATGGATGGTCCGCTGCGGCGCTTTTGCTTATGGCAAGAAGCATGTGCAGGCGCTTGATCATCTTGGGTACCAGGCGCATGTTCTGATCGCGATAGTTGATCGCAATGTCACTGACCTCCATGGCCTCGGCCAGCAGTCCGGTGGCATAGCTCTGGAGGGGCTCAATGCTGTCCTCGGCCCAGCTGTAGATGCGATTGATGGTGCCATCGTCGTTCGCTGTCTGAAATACGGCAGTTGTCTCCAGACCTGGCATAATCTCCAGGATAAGGCGGCACGCCAGGATGTTCAGCTCCAGGGAGCTGCGACTTATGGTCTGCCGACTAAAGTAGTTCTCGCGCAGATAGTCGTTTAGCAGCTGGAATCGTACAAAAAGTTTACTTAATTTGATGCCAAATAGTAATTGATTGCTTTGCTCACCTTTCCCATGAACACATCTTTGCGGAAGAGCAGCTTGAGGAGCAGTCCATACTGGCAGCTGGGATCGGCGCGATATGGATGCCTTGAGTCCAGGGGATCTGGATCCTTGCGCATGTAGGCGTCCTTTTCGCGCTCAAATATCTCCGCCAGACTGTTCAATGTGTTCATTAATATTTATATTCGTACATTTATAGATTTATTCGCTCTCGCCTTACCTCTTCAGTGTGGGCACCGGATCGTAGCCACTTTGGGTCTGCTGCTGTTCCCATCGGTCGATGATTTGCGTCAACTCTTTCTTGGTGGACGAGCGCCTATCGGCGGCTGTGTCTTCCTCTTGATTGGCAAAGGCTTCGTCGGCGGCGGGGCTGCTGTCGCTATCGTTTTCCTCTGCCGCTTCAGCATCACCTGGGCTCATTACTTCTTCCTCGGCTCCTACTTCTTCAGCGGCTGCCCCATCATCTCCATCGTCTTCGCTTTGGTATGCAATTGCCACAGCTTCTGCCATCAGAGCGGCCTCAGCCTCCGTCTCGGCTTCCGCATCAACGTCCTCTGGCGCCGCCCCAGCCAGCGCCTCGTTACCGTTTTCACGGCCCTCTGACATAGTCAAGCTGGACAAATTGTGAAACTACGTTTAACGCGCACCAAAAGATTCACAGCAGTGGCAAATTTACAAAATAATTTAGTTTACTTGCGAAAATAAAGCGTGCATACCACGCGCTCGACCGCGGATTTTTCGATAAATACCCTAAAAAAATATACCAAAATATACCTTATCATTTTCAAAATATACCGAGGAAAAAAACGAACTTAACCCATTTAGCCCCATTGAGTTTAGCCGCGGAAAATAAAACTGTTTGTTAACTCTATTCTTCTTTATTATTTTTTGTTTGTTTAACGCGCGGATCCCAGGCATACTTATATTTTTGTAGAATATATTTTAACCTTTTTCTTTACCTATGACCGACGCTGCCAGATCGAGAGAGAACGGATACTATCGTATCCAAAATATAAATATCGTCCGAACCGATATAGTATCAACAAATCTCATTGTTTTGTTTTGGCGGTGCCATCGGCATTATATTTATTTAACAAAATACATAGAGTGTAGTTTATGTAATGAGTTTCCTGTACCTACTGGGATGGATATCCCTTGGTATACAGATCACGTTCCTTACACTGTCCATAGGTAAGCTGCTCGGTTTGGGTGTGACGCCCATTGTTTCGTTTCTGTTGACGTCTGCAATGTTCTTCCAGTGGCTGGACTTTATTACTTGGCGGAACTCGCGGAAGAGTACACGACACAGGCACGGCGATGCATTCTGTTCATGATCAGCTTCACCATCTTTGTGTACATCATGTTGATGGTGTTTGAGGATTTCCCCTGGAGCATGCTGCTGTGCGGCTTTGTGGCGCAGGGATTCCACCTATCGATAATGGGTGGCTTCCCATTCATACGGCTGCTGTCGGTGCCCTTCCTGGGCTCCCTAGTCATGCTGGTGGTCAATCATTTGCTGGCATTTCAGCATTTTACCACCGTTTATGTGCCTTTCACGCAGGTGACTTAAAGCCTTGGAGATGGTTTGAATTAACACTAATCATTATTATCGCTAGGTGCTTGCCTACTTCACCATTTGCATGTGGATCGTGCCCTTCGCACTGTTCGTCTCGCTCAGTGCCAACGACAGCGTCCTGCCCACGGTGAATGAGCAGAGCAGGCGGAGTCCGGACGTAGTCAGCAATTACTTCTCGCGGAACAAGAAGCAGGGGCTGCTCTCCCTTTTCAACTATATGAAGGAGCAGGTGCTCCCAGCGCGTAGCAAGAAGGCGTTTTAGAATATTTAAATACACGTGTGCAAGTAGTAGGAATGTGGAATGGTCTAGGGTTTAGAGTGTTTCTTTTGGTTATTTATTTTTTGTACCTATAAACCAGACAAACGAGCAAGTATGCATGTGTAGATAAATGCAAGAGACAAATTCGTTTATTTATGGCCAACACTTCTTAATATTAATCTAATCCCTGTGAACATAGTAGTGTACAAAGATTTACTTGGTCTGAGCCTTAACATTGCCATCGGCCATGCCGAAATAGCACTTGTGGGTCATGTCCACGAAGAGTCCCGTCTCCAGGACGCCTGGGATCATGGTGATGCCGCGATTCACCTCATCCCAGTTGTACTCCCGCTTGGCAATGAACTTCCAGTCGAGCAGAAAGTTTCCATTATCGGTTATAATGGGTCCAGCCTTGACCTTAGCCATGCGCAGCGAGACCTCGCCTCCAAACATGGCCTCGATCTGCAACTTGATGGGAACATACGCCATAGGCGCTACCTCAATGGGTACGCCCAGGCACCATTGCTCGCCCAGGCGCGTCGATTGCTTCGTGTAGTCGGCCACCACAATGAACTTTTTGGCGCAGGAGGCCACAACCTTCTCCTGGAGCAGGCAGCCCCCGCCGCCCTTGATGCACACCATGTGCGTGTCCACCTCATCGGCTCCGTCGATGGCCACATCGATGTTGGGATTGCGATCCAGCGAGCCCAAGTTGAGATTGTAGTCCAATATGAGATGCTGTGCCTGGTAGGACGAAGGCACACAGATCAGGTCGGTCAGCTCGCCCTCCTTCCACACACGCTCCGCAATGCGCTGCACCGCGAACACGACCGTCGAGCCGCTGCCAATCCCCAGGATCTTAGTGTCCTCCGTCACCCACTCGTCCACGGCGGTGCGGGCGGCCTTCTTCTTTGCCTCCTCCAATGAAATCTCGCCGGCCATGTTTCTTGTCTGTGCACAGAGTATAGCCGCACCCAAGAAAAGCTGCTGCGCGTTCAGATGATGCTGATTGAAATGTGGTCGCGAAAAACCTCGACAAAGTAGGCCCAATAACATGTGGTGGTGTTGGTTACAGTGCCGTCCCGTCCTTCTAGTTGAAAGTTTAAAAACTTCAATGTCAAGTCAAAAGCAGAGCTGGATTTTGCAACGCATTAGGGTATTTCTGTAACCAGCGTAACAGCGGCAGGTCTGTTATTGCGCTTTACAGTAATGTTGGCTGTTGTGATTTGAAATTAGGCGCGATTTCACTTATTTTATTAATTTTCAAGTGAAAAGCTACAAAAATGGACTTTCTGAACAGTAATAATATTTTTGTCACTTTTGGCATATCTAGAAACGACATGAAGTATAGATATATGTAGGTTATAATTTTAATTTGTTTTAACTGGGTTTTGAATTTCCTTCAGATACTGCGAGTAATCATAGGTAACCACCTTGGGAGCTAAGAAGCCTCCGAAGCCTGGACGACCCTTGTGATAGATGCCCAGGCCGGCCAGAGGAACAGCCGGATGGGGCACAACCTCCTGCACATCAATGAAGGGCACAGTGTTCTGGGATACGTCTTTCAACTTGCTGGAGCTGAAAAATTTGATAAACTGATTCGATTTGGACAGTGGCATCGAGGACTGCTCTGAGGCTGTGGGCACATCAGCCACCTTGAGGACCAGCTCTTCTCGTGGCTTCTCGCCGGTTGTCTCCGTGTTGCTGTTGTCCAGCCAGACGCTGTTGCGCTTCGGCTCCACCAGGCGTCCGGTGGAAAAGTCGAAATAGCTGAACCGCACCTCCAGATTGAGATGCTTGCCCCAGACGCGAAAGCGGGCACCAGTCACCACAAGGGACCGATTTGAGCCGGAAGTTATCTCGTCCAGGTCCATGGCGCGGCTGTCGATGGCGAGAGTGTGATAGTCGTAGTCGTTGCGAACATCCACATCGCTTGGGTGGTACGCTTCCAGGGGCAGCCACTCCAGAGAGGACACATTGATTGCCCCACGGGGCAAGAGCTCGCCCTGCTGCAGCTGCAAGTGGAAGACGCGATTACTCTTCACGAAGCGTACACCTGTTACCACCCTATTCTCCATGAAGTCCGACAGCGAGTCACGCAAGTTAAAGTAGCGATCAGAGAGCGGACCCTGTTCGTCGCACAGGCAGAAGCAGTTGGAGCAGCGCCAGAAAAGATAGTACGACGAGGATGAGGCCGTAACAGTGGTAGAATCGCATTTTCCGCTGGAGCCCTTCCGGCCGAGAATCGGCCCATCGGGCTGAATATATTCGTAGCGTCGCGAGGAGTTTCTCCCGGACGGGCAGATCACTACTTCAGAGTCCATTTCACCGCAGTTGTAGAGTTTTCCGTTGCACTTCGGCTGCTCGCCGCAGAGCTCCTCAGCTCCCTTGTAGCAGCCATTGGAGCGAGTGTCCTGGTAGTCGCCACAGGTACCCCGGCATGACTGGTCGTCGCCCAAGTTGGCCTCGTTCTCCACGTAGCCCTGGAGGAGACGCGTAACCCGATCGTAGGTCTCTCCGGACACGTGCTTGTTCTTTTCAGGATCACAGCGCCAGTAGACACGTCCGCTGCGAGATATCACCTGACTGAGAACCTTCACGGAGGCGTCCATACGCCGTTGGTAGTTTTGGCGCATCAAAGCAATCTCCTGAGTGAAGTTGCCCTGCCCGAGCTCCCGCTGGATCATCCACGAAAACTCCATCATGCTGTATGCCTTGACTTCGGTGAGGGCTGCCTTTGTGAAGAGCTGAAAAGCGAACTGCTGGGCCGAGTGTTTTCCCACGCACATCTGGACCGGTGACTCCTCGTAGTTGATCGTAAGTTGAGACAGCAGGGTGTTGGCAGAGTCGGTCTTGTTGTCCGCCTGCTCATCATCCCCAAACAGATTCGCATGCAGGATATCCAGCTGGAAAGCCAATGAATTGGAGCCCGGGTCCACGTTCCACTCGGCAAATTTCAGAAGCGTGGCAACCTCTAAAGCATCTTTATGCTGGACATAGTCGCTCAACTGTGCGTACCGGGTTTTTACGATTGTGGTGAGGTCTTTGACCAGATTCAGCTTGTGCAGTAGTACGGATTGCTGGTGAAACTCCTGGATCAAGGTATCGATGGTCAGGGCAGTGCGAAGAGATTCCATTTCCTCCAAACTACGGATGTGGTCATCCACCTCCTCGATGCGGTTCATTAGTTGGCGCTGCTTGTCATAGGTGTCATTATCTGGTAGGGACTCTATCACATCCCAGGCTTTCAAGATCGCGCTACTAACATCTCTGATCATCTCTATTATCTCCACAGCCTCGTTAATCACGCTGCGTGAGGATGGGATCAATAGGATGATGGCAAAAACCATACAAAGCTTGAGTCGCATTGTATATCCGCTGTGCAAGTGGATAAGTTATATGAAATTCAGCAGATTATTGTTTATTGTGGTTGCAGCTTACTCAAGTTTATCGGCATCCGTCAAAAAGGTTTATGTTTACAAATCTTTAGCTCAGCAGCAATGCGAAGTTTGTCCGATCCCGCCAGTAGTTGCGATTTACATAAATTCTGTACATTCAGACCGATCGCTGCTACCAGGAAGAGAGCATTGCTCAGTTTTGCGTTACAGGCTTGAGTTTAGAGAGAGTATTTGTGCTCTCGATCGATTGTGTGCTATATTCAAGAATTATAAACATATTATACACATGTACATATGTATGTACTATGTGTATACGTATGTACATTTATATTGTATAACTTCAGCATAGAATGAGTGCATGGGCAGGATCCGTTCCACTTTAAAATGGCCTTTTATCCAACATTCAAGTCGGTAACATCCTCTTTACAGCACTAAATGGATTCCTTGGTGGCGCACTCGTGCGATTCTATTTTCCGAAACCATTAACAAAGCGAATAGCAACAATACAAAACTATTTTTAAAGTTAAGCGCTGGCCACGATAAAGCCAGAAAATGGCAGCAAAAGGAATGGCAAGCATTTTAGTTGTGACTTACTGCGCGACGACGACGACGACCGACGATGACCAAACGAAAGCTATAAAGGGGAATCCCCACAAAAGGCTGGTAGCACCGTTGTGTTGTTGCTTTCTGGCTTATGTATGCCCGGAATATTTGAAGAAATTTAATACTTTTAGTGCACAAAGCAAAGCTGTTGGCATTCCCATTGCGATTAAGCTGAAAAGCAGCAGAGCACAATTACAAAGGTGATTGCAATTTCTCTCTTTCAAAGTGGGAGGAGAACAGGGACCAGAGATAGAGAGATGGAAAAAGAAGCTCGTGTTAATGGATTTCACTTTTTAAGAAATAAATTACTATCTGAGGTAGCTGAAGGAAGCCAGTGGCCAGGAAGAGGAAGCAAAAACCGCAAACTGATTTCCATCCAGTTTGCATGATTGGATAGGATTTTGATTCATTAGCAAAGGAGCAGCCCACATAGCCGCAGCCGAAATGGAATCCAATGAAATTAACCACTTGGGCATGAGGCAGGGCAGAGCTTAAAGCAGAGAGCAAAGGCAAGATGATTACGATGCCGAGTCTAAAGATCTGCAAATGTCTATCCACTACTCCCCTGGTGGTGGAGCTCTATTTTGGCAAGTGAACGTGGAATAGTTGCCCAAAGTAAACATCAATTAAGCGAAACAAAAGGCCGTGCATACATATGTACATGGTATAGTATCAGGGGGGAAAAACAGCAAATGCAAATTTTTAATTAAAGAAATGGCATTGTTTAATGCGCCCCATGTGGCATGTTCCGGGCCAACACCTGAACACAGCAAGGCCCTCGGCCTTTTCGCGAGGAAAAAACAAAAATTTGGCAAAAGCGAAGAGGTAAATGGACCTGCGACCCAGATGCAGCCCCACTGACATCCATTATAGCAGACCCACAGCAACTCAAATGGGGGGAAAAAAACAGCATAGATGGGTTGGGGGAACAAAAAAGAAAAGGCAGGCCAGGGCGGTCAATGGGGCTGGACAGGGCTGCTTGCTGCTTCTTTTGTGAGAATTATGATTCTCAGGGGCTGATGATGACAATGTTGGGAACTGCACCGAACGACTTTCCAATGGGTGCGATTTATAATTTGATTAGCGCATCGCTGAATGCACACAAAAACGAAGAAGGGGTCGGGCGGGTGCCGTCGAATCGGGCTCAAAAGTCAAACGGGAGGAAGTGCAGCCGAGTGCACTCAACGCGAGATGGAGATGAGAGAAAATCGGGAAATCGGGCACCATTCCCGTCCTTATCTCATCTACTTAAGAGGGAGGCCCAGTGCAAAATGGAGCGGGCCATCACACTCCGTTGCCTGACAATGACAAATGATGATGGAGCAGAGGACCAGAGGACATGCTTCGCTCTTTTGGGTAGAAAGTTCTCTCGCTTTTGGCTTTCAATTAATCCGGGCAAGTGGCGCTTTTATTGAGCCTAGGCCTTGTAGTCCCCTGATTATCAGTTGTGTTTTGTCCAACGGAGCGAGGATGCCACAAAAAAAGAGAGACAAATATCTGGGTAACTGGGCAAAAAACCATTCACAGATCTCCACCATTCTAAAGGGTTTTACCCGACCACAGACACAGGACAAAGACACAGGACAGGGCAGGACACAGGCACAGGCACAAAAGCGGCGAAATTTGCCTGCCATTCATTAAACAATGAACAACAAATCCGAGCTGGGGGGCGTGGTCGTGCAGCTGCCTCCACATAGATAGATTAATGGCCGCAAACAAAGCCGACGAAATCAATTTATTATACGGCCGACAGTTGACCGCAGGAAAAACTGTGAAGCTGAAACAAAAGCGGAAGGCTTAGGGGGAGTAAAATATAACGAGTAAAATGAATTTTATTCCCCGTTTTTCGCATCCAACTGAAGCCAGCAAGCTGCAGCAACTTCAGCAAGTGGATTCCCAAAGAGATCAGACAAACAAATTTGGAATTTTAAGAGTAGAAATCTGTACAGTAAAAGCCTATAGCTTGACCTTGCGCAAGCCATCGGGAGTGCAGCATTTGTAGGTGTCATTGATACGGCTCAGTCCGAGGCGCGACAGTTGCTCCTTCTCCCACTCGTGCTCCTGGGCGAACAGCTCCTGCATTCGCTGGCGTCGTGTCTTGACGATCAACTTCACGGCGGTGCTCAGCTCCAGGCTCATGGGCTTAACCAGATCATTGATGATGGGATTGTTCGATGAGATCAGCGAGGAATCGCGGCTATTGAGCAGCGAGAGACTGTGCAGGCAGGGAGGTATGTATGTACATAAGCGCGGGATTAGTTGTCTATATAATGGTTAATCCCCCCCCATTAGTCACTTACAAATCAGCAGGCATCTTGGTACTTTTACGTTAACTCAATGTCGAATTGATGAAATACTGTTGTAGCCTGTCAGACAGGCTTAGCCAAGCCTGCTTGAAGGGTAAACAGGTAAAGGAACGAAGATTGGCTAAGTGAGGTAGCGGATTGACGTTCGACAGCATTTAACACTCCAGTGAAGGTCTTAGGAGGAACAGCCACATCAAGGCGATAAGATAAGTGCATAAGTAGGTAAGATATAAGTGAGTCCAGGCCGAAGGTTGATGTTAATGAAGATAGAAAAGATACTAATAAATATCTACCTGCCCAACATCCCCCCTTTTTGGAAAAGCAGCCACAGCCAGAGCCAGAGCTTGAGGAACACTAGGAGAGAAGATTGGAAAACGACGAAAAGCCAACACAAATAGTTGCTGGGGCACTTTGGCAGGACGCGGGGGATAACACACCCAGCTGCACAGCTACACAGCTACACCGAGACACTATCAAAGTCATGTTCGATAGCAATGGGGGGGAACAGTCAGGTGTGTAATTGCAATCCGAATTGGTCAAGTGTAACAATGTAAAGACGCCTCGCCTGGCCACACTCGGCCTAGGACGCGGACGGGGTGGAGTCACACGCCAGCTCCCGTCTCGCAGCTGCTGCCAGCCAAGGGAATCAATTTGATCCTTGAACTTATGCAGCCAGCAAACTGAAACTTGGCATCCTGCACTGCTGCTCCCACAACTGGGGGAGCATTGCAGACCGTTTTGGGGAACAAAATCAAATTGCAAATTGCAGCTGAAAATGTCACGTGCATCGACACATTTTTTGGAGGCAACTACTGTCTCCTTGTGTTCTTTTGTCCCACTGCCATTGCCGGGCCAGACCGAGCAAAGACCGAGCACCAGGAGATGTCGTGACATTTGGTCGAGCACAGCGCCAGTTTGGGCCGGACCCGGACATGAGGAAAGGTTATTGCAATAGTCTCCGCCAAAGCAATCAATGGACGCCAGGCATGAACTCCCGGGGTGCATGTGTTGCAGCGGATAGCCCGGATATCACAGAGGGGCATAGGACGGGATCTACCCTTGCACCTGCTCTATTTGCCGCTGCTGCTGCTGCTGCTGCTGTTGGTGCACTCATCGCAATGGGTCTGGGTGGCAGCCCCATTCATTATGTTGACCACGCTGTCGCATTTGCTACGTGACATTCTGCTAACTGCCCCGAAAATGGAGCGAATGTCGCTGCATGGCGTACTTGGACCATTGTCGTGGCATAATCCTCTCCAGCTGCGACTGCGGCTGCTCGTCAGGGATGGCAATGTCTCGATTACTCAGCGGTCGATCATCGCTCCGTGAATCGGTTATTTGCAAGCAGCGATAAATGATCGATTCGTATTGACTATTTCGATGCTTTTTTTAAATTTTAAATACCTTTTTGCTCATCTCTAGCGGCGACAGATAATGTGAGCAGTGGGAACGTGAGATTCAGTCGTCTGCAATGCTCGTCCTGTTGGCCCCATTGTCTGGGCCACTCAATGCTGTGTCGTGGACCACTAAGTGTTCTCGATCCAAGGTGATGTGTGTGCAGTTCATCGAACTGCCTGCCGAAATTCATCCAATTGCATTGCCATTACAATATACAAAGTTATGGCAATGTCTCTCCAGAGACGGCAATCACAGGCGGAACAGGGCAGAATCAGAGCGAAGAAGTTGCTGGGGATTTGTATTTGGGATTGCAGTGGAGTCCCATTTCAAATTGCAAGTAAATAAAGCGTCTGGCAAACAGCAGGCAGAAACACCTCCCACGCCAGAGTTGAGTTATGGACGTGCTGGGAGCAGCAACCGAAGCGTACACAACGCCCGGAACATGGCGGAGGGTGGGGTCCGAAGGCGGTGGGTAGAGTAGAGCTCTGGCAGAGGGGACCGGTACACACAGGCGAGGTAAAGTAAATGTGCAAACATTTATTTATGTGGCCTGCCATGGTGCACTTTAAGGCACTGCAATTGCCCTGATTCAGGACGGGAGAAGGGAGAACAAATCCTGTTGTACAGGACAACAGGCGGACATCCCATACAAATGACACTGGCCGTTCGGTTGCAGTCCTGCGAAAAGAGTTTCTTGTGCGAATCTTTTAGTTTGTTTTACAAATTCAAATTTCAAATAGTTCGGAAATTGCATAAAATGCCACAGGGATTGAAGTTGGAAAGAAATGTTGCGGAAACACTTTGGCTGGAGAAGTAAATAAATAATAAAAGAAATAAATGAATTATAAATTCAATTTGATGGCAAAAACTTCTCGTCAAACAAAGGACTCCAAGTGTATACCTTGCAAATACCGCTACCAATCGAATTGCTAACAAATAGAAAGTCCGTTCAACTTTCTCCATCTGGTGGCAGGATCTGCAGGAGCAAGCCCACCTGAACGTGAAGACCATTCCCTGGCTGCAATCGCATTTCAATTTTAATGAGCACACGGGAGAGAGAGTGCTCCTTTTTCGCCTAAATTTAATTAACAACAAAAGTCATGGAGCACAAAAGGAGAGCTAAACCCGATGGAGAAAAACCTTAATTTGTGAACAAGGAAGGCGGAGGAACAAAAGAGAAGCAGTGGAGCTTCCAAGGAGTGCACAAAAAGTCGCCACCAAGTAGTTTAACTTTCCTTTTTTTTTTTTGGTGTGTCCTTTTCCCCATGTTGTATGAGTGCGCGCGTGTGTGTGTGTGTGTGTGTGTGTGTGTGTGTGTGTGTGTGTATGTCACGTCTCTGGACATCAACAAGGGGTTTTCTTTTTTGGAGGATGGACTCGTAGCGAAGTTTCTGCTGCTGTTGGCGTTAAAAAAGCGGAAAATCGCAGCACATTTTTGCTTTTTAATTAAGCCCTCAATTTTTTATGTTCCATTCGAAAGCGACATGCCGTGATTCCTCCGCAGCCCCCCCACCACTATTCCCCATTCCTGGCAGTGGAGCAGCAGCAGCCGGAGGTTTACTTTTCCAAAGTGCAACTGAATCTGGATTGTTAATGTGCGTGAGTGCAATGGGAGAGAGAGAGCTTGACAAATTTGACAAAATTTCACACTGAAGGAGAGGCCTTAATTAAGAGAGTCTCGCTGGGCTCTCCTCTCTTTCGGTCTCTTTTTTAAATATTTTTTTTTTGCTGTTGTACGAAGACAATTAAAGAATAAAACTTTCATGCAAGTCTGATTTTAGTTTCTAGCTTACTAAAATCTATCTAAAATCTAAGGCAATGTTTGTATTACAATTGGTACGCCTGCAATGGCTCTGGCACTAAGTCCACAGTGCCAGAGCCATAAATCATACATATAAGGCATCATGTATCATACCTTCATATCTTCTTAAGTTCAGGTGGTTTTACGATCAACAAATGAACAAAAATTTCAGATATTTCTTTCTGTTTACTGATCTCGTCTGAGAGTATTTCACCTGACCGAATGCCATAAATAAAGCCCGCTTGGCCCCGTGTGCGTTTAGTTCGGTTGAGATCATTTGAGAGCGAAGAACAGAACAGAGCACATTCGGTTCAGTTCAGTTCAGTTCGGTTCAGTGAAGAGTTGAGACTATACGTGATTACTGGTACAATTTCGAGCGGCTAATGCTGATTATTTAAAAGCGCTGACGACGGTGATCGGGCGATCGTTGAACTGGCACGTGACTGCAGTTGCTTAGTAGCAACAATAACAAAATAAACAGGTAACCGGAGCAAATCGATCCACTGCAGAGACACAAATCGAATGTCTAATACGGTTTTAAGTCCCGAACGATACAGCATTCGTGACTTTTGGCACAGACGTCCAGCAGAGCCATGTCGAGAGACTTGAAGGAGTTAAAGAGCCAAGCCTTATCCTCGGGACCCCTACCGTTTGGATTCGGGAGCACGCAGAATATTTAAAAACATGTTTGCCAAGTGGATAGACTGACTTATGTTCTCTCTGTTTCATTGCCCCAGCATGTTGGGATCTACAGCCATTTACTGCCTCGCTCTGATCCCGCTGTTGCCTTCGGGCAGCCTGGCTGTCTACGATCATTATCGCCTGCCCAGCTCGCTGGAACCACAGCACTATGACCTACGCATTCTCACCCATCTGAATGCCACCGACCGGCGCTTCGAGGGTGCGGTGCGCATCGATCTGCGTGTCCTGCAATCGACCAGAAACATTACATTGCACGCGAGGAATTTACGGATAGACAAGTCGCGCATTTCACTTACCGGTGGCTCCACAGCCAGAGGGGAGAGGCATTGCCCCTCCGACAGCGACATCGAGATCGAGCTGAACGAGGTGTACGACTACTACACGCTGCATCTGTGCCGGGAACTGCAGTTGGGTCAGAGCTACCAGCTGACGATGCACTTTGAGTCATCGCTGAATGCCACAGAATCGGGCTACTACAACAGCTCCTACACGGGTGCGGCAACCAAGGAGAAACAGTGAGTATTGTGGCTCTTTGGCAGACGCAGACGCTGACCCTTATCCCGCCATTCATTAGTTACATGGCAGTCACACAGTTCTCGCCCACGTTTGCCCGCCAGGCGTTTCCCTGCTTCGATGAACCCACGTGGAAGGCCACCGTTAATGTGACCCTGGGCTACCACAAAAGCTACACGGGTCTCAGCAATATGCCGATCCACAAGTGCCACAAGCAGTAAGTAATCTATGCGATCTATCCGATCTCATCCGATCAACTACCAATCCTCTCGCGTCCATCGTTTCAGCGAAAGCCTCCCCGACTATATCTGGTGCGAGCACGAGCAGCTCTTGAGGACATCCACCTACCTGGTGGCCTATGCGGTTCACGATCTGCCCAATGCGGCCACCGTGCAGAGCGACACCAAGAACAGGGTGATCTTCCGCAATTGGTTGCAGCCCATGGCGTTGCAACAGGGCAACGCCTCCATCGAAATGGGCCCAAAGGTGCTCGGCTACTTTGAGGATCTCTTTCGGCTGGACTTTCCCCTGAGAAAGATCGACCAGTTTGCGGCGCCCACTCACAGGTTCAAAGCCATGGAGAACTGGGGCTTGGTCACCTTCAGAGAGAGCAACTTCGTGCACATCGAGGGGGTGGAGCAGGAGGAGGCAAAGGTTCTAAAGGCCAAGACGCTGGCCCACGAGTATGCCCACCAGTGGTTCGGCAACAGCGTGACCATGAAATGGTGGAACGATCTCTGGCTGAAGGAGGGTCCAGCCACGTACTTCGCCTATCTGGCATTGGATGCCCTGCGGCCCGATTTGGGTCGCGGCGAGCGATTCATTGGCAAGGATTTGGAACATTTCTTTGACCGGGACTCGGCCAGATCGGTGCGCGCCATTTCGCGCGAGGTGCAGGATCCAGCACAGATCCTCGGGCAGTTCACAAAGTACGTCTATGAGAAGGGGGCGCTGATCATGCGCATGCTGCACAAGCTGCTCGGCGAGGAGGCCTTCTTCCTGGCCATTCGCTCCTATCTCTCCAAACACTCACTTGGGACTGTGGAGCAGGCTGATCTGTGGCAGTCCATGCAGGAGGCAGCCGTGCAGCAGAAGGTGCTATCATCCGACTTTAATCTGGGCCGAGCCATGGACACGTGGACGCTGCAGGGTGGCTATCCACTGGTCACCGCTGTGCGTGACTACGAAACGGGTTGGGTGAGCCTCAATCAAACGAGATTTTACCTGGAGAAGGGCCTGAGGCAAGTCACCGCCACAGACCACTGCTGGTGGGTGCCGCTCAGCTTTGTTCTTCAAAGCCATCCCGACTTTGAGCAAACTCGTCCCCAGTCTTGGCTGGAGTGTCCCGCCACCACGACACAGGCACTGCAGCTACCCAATGGGCCAGCGCGCAATGAGTGGTTCATTCTGAATGTCCAAGTCAGCGCCATTTACCGGGTGAACTATGACGAGCACAACTGGAGGATGATCATCAGCAGTCTGCAGAATGATCCAAACTTTGGGGGCATACACGTGTACAACAGAGTCCAGCTAATGGATGATCTTATGGCCCTGGGCGCCGTAAAGCTACTCAGCTATGACTGGGCCTTCGACCTCTTCGAGTATCTGCACAGGGAGGAGGAGCTGCTGCCCTGGGAAAGGAGTATCACCCTCTTGAACCGCATCGGAATGTTATTGAGTGGGCGGCAGGCAAAAGAGTTAAAGGTGGGTTCTAAGGACGGTCCTCTCGAGTCCTCTCCTTATTACATCAGCATCTCCTCTAGGCTTACATGGCGAAGCTACTCAGTCTGCTGTACAGGCGCCTGCCCAAGCTGGGAGCCATCACGAGTAGGTCTGTGACCGGCAGGGACATGTCCCTAATGCGGCTCACATACACCCAAGCCTGTCGCTATCGCGTGGATGACTGCATCGATCAGGCCAAGCAGCTAGTTATGCGACATTTAAATACGCTGGAGCTGCCAGTCGACATCTACGAGGTGGCCAACTGCATCGCCATCGAGCAGGGCGGCGAAGCGGAGTTCCAGCAATTGCTGCAGCTATTCAGAAACACGACGAATGTCGCCCAGCAGGAAGTCTGGGCATCGGCGCTCGGATGCAGCCGCAACATCAGTCTGCTGGCGGAGTTCCTGGACTACACGCTTCAGTCGGAGACGAAGGAAACCACCGATTGCTACTTGCTGGCGGTGGAGACTGCACTGACACGTGAGCATTTGGTCGTGGAGGCTGCCAACCACGTCCTGTCCCACGCCAAGAGACTCAAGTAAGTTGGGGGAAAATTCAACCCAAAAAGTAATTCGACCCAAATAATTGATTGACTTTTTCGCAGCGAAAAGTTCAAGAAACGCCAGCTGACGCGCCTCCTGCTGACTTTGGCTGGAAATCTACACAGACCTGAAGATTCGGACAGACTCAGGGAGCAATTGAAGGATCTGAAGCAGTTCGAGGAACCCCTGCAGAAAGCACTCGATGTGGTCAAGGTGAACCAGCAATGGCAGGGGGATTGCTCCGTCGATTTTAGCCAGGCTCTTGGGAAGCATATCTGAGAACTTGTACGCACTGTCACACATGTCCAATAAACGGGAAAATCCTTCCTTTGTCCAGTTGTCCAAGGCAGAGTCCAGGCCAAATGGCGACACGCCAGTTTCAGTCTCAGTCGCAGTCTTAGGCGCAGGGCTGTCACCCTGCCCTGTTGTTCCTGGTATTAATTAAGGAAATGGTGGTGAAATCTTGGAACTAGCATTGAAAGGAGTCGCAAGGCAGAGAGGAGGCTGGAGGAGGAGGAGCAGACCTCACGGGCTGTCAGAAACGGGTCCTGTCATAGCTTTGACTTGTAAATTTCTTGACACGGGACACACACACACACACCGACACTATCAATCCATTCACCCACTGCAGCTCCTTTGTTTACCGCCTCTCCAGTTCCACGACTCCGACTCGGAGCACAAACAGACGTTCTGGCATTTGACGTTTACACGGGTACGTCATAACATGTCCTCTCCTCTCGTGGATGGAAATCGGAAGCGAAATGGTGATGGCAGTGGCAGTGCCAGTGGGAGTGGCAGGAGAAGGATATGGAGATGGGGAATGGGGAATGGAAAAGATGTTGCCGCCATTTAGTTATCCCTTTTGTTTAGCTTGGAGCTGTCATCACTGCTCCACTCCACTCCATCGAAGGCTGCCAATTAGTCAAATTAATCGTTTGTAATTGATGTGCCAAAGGGATAAAGGAGTGTGGCACTGGCAAAAGGAGATGACACTTAGTGCATCAATCAGGTGGAAAGTATCTGTCAACTGCCACTATTATGATGGCATAATGCAATCTTGCATCAACTTCACTTTACAATGCAATCGGCAACAGATTCTGATCTATGGACCAAGTGCCATTAGGAATATTTCACTCGACTAAACGAAGGGAGAGTGACATGGGATGGATGGATGGATGAATGGATGACTGGGTAAGATGGGTAATCCTCGTAGTTAAAGTGGAAGGGTTCGAGAAGGGGGTACGGCAGAGAATAGTTAAAGTTCCATTGGTGCAAAATTCCAGCAAGTGCGCATTGATGATGAGCCATAATTGAAGCCACAAAGAGAATGTGTTATGCAAAGCCAATAAAAATTCGAGTACTATATTTATGCATGCACAATATACACACATACATATGTACATATGTAGTATGTACACATACACAGTTTGCTCATCACATTTATAAATGGAATGAAAATGAAAAGTGGCTCCGTCCCTGTCCTGTCAGATAAATGAATGCTATTAATGCTTGTTAAAAGCGGTTATTAAATTAATTAAATGTGATGCCAGCTGGATGTGTGCGTGCTGGCACACTGTAGAGCCCAGTGTATGACACTGTAAAAATAAATATCGATAGGGAATACGATTTATATATTTATTATGCTGAACATTGGCATTTTAGCGCTACTTTTTGCTCATTTATTTATCACAAATTAATTGAATTGGAGCGTCGGCTCGCGGGCGAGAGTGGCAGTTTAATTTCGTTCACCTGTCGAATTAGTTGCCACAGACATCGGACATCCAATTCACTGAAATTGTTATGGCAATAGACAGTCAAAACGGACAAAGCAGGACATTTCCTGCTGCTTTGTATTACTCTAGTCCCACTCCTCTGGATACCTTGGCTGTAAGGAGAGCTTTCTTCCATTAACAATCGATATATTTTCATTGGCCCAGCTTAGCCTCAGTCCCAGCCACAGTCCCAGCCCCGTCTCGGGTCATGCAAGTAATTTGGGGGCAAAGTTTTATGCTTGGTTAGCCCTTTTCATTGTCTGCTTCCAAGAGGGCAGGATAAGGAATAGAACAGACAGGAGCTTGCAGCTTGTAGCTCCTTGGATCCGCTACTTGACTGCAGCTTGTTGCTGCTTCTGATGCTGCAGTTTGGCACACAATCAAATTTGGTTGCTTAATTAATATGCATTCAGTGTCGGGGCCCGAACAAGGATCAAATTATGTAATAGCCGCATTAAAATCGAATCTCTCGATGCGTGCCTTGTGGGTAGTTTTAGCTCCTCCAACTGTGTGCGAGTATCTGTATTAGATCTGTGCGTGTATGCACGTGTGTGTGTGTGTGTGGGAGAACTTGGCTTTCTGTGCACGTGGCACAAATGCAGGCACCGTCATAACATGGCGACCAGCAGTCCATTGCAAAATGGTCTAATTATCCTTAATTGAATACGACATGGTTAGTCGGCAGTCGGCAGTCGGTAGTCGGCTGCCACCACCTCCCCGCTCTTTAAGTGGCTCCAATTATTTGTCTGTAGCTCCGATTGCAATTCAATTGGAGTGTATAGATTATCAATTCCTTCCGACAATTGTCGATTATGCTGTGTGGTCTTGGATGCAATTAGTTTGGAAGCAATCGTTCGGCTCCACACAACACATAACACAAAGCGACTGCAATTGAAGGGAGTCCTTTTTATTGATAGTACATACATGTATGTGCGTGAATTGCAACTATAATCGTATTACTGCTATGCTTAGGCATCTTAGCATCCATTCTTACAATATATCCACTCCCCCTATATATCAAAACAGCATCAGCATTGAATGCACCATAAATCTTCATAATTATTGAAGCTCTGCCGTGCCCGCTGCTCATCATCGGCTTTATGTACCTCTGTATTACTTTCCAGGGACTTTAAATAAATTTCAATTACGAGCAGAGCTCTTTGCTATGCCATCTCTTGGCTCCTGGCCCTCCAGCCTCCTGGTTCTGTGTGGGTTCTCGTTGTTTTTGCTGCCATTCGATGGGTTGTCGATGCTTTTTATTGTCTAACTTGTGTATTACATTTTGTTTATGCCATAAATTAAGGCGACATTTTCTTTGTTTGTTGTTTTAATGCCGGCAAACGAGAGAATAAATTCATTAAAAACTTTTGGCCAATGCAAAAATCCTATTTATTGACTTTTCAGTTTGCAGGAGTGCAGGTATGGGAATGTGCAGTTACTTGTGCAAATATATACACACATATACATACATACGAGTATGTACTGCATATTCGAATCGAATCGATTTGTTCGTTGCTGACCAAATGAGTATATCTCTACTGTCCCTCGGCTTTCTCTCCCCTCTATCATAATCAGAATGAAAACTTTGCCTTACATTACATTTATTGCTTCCTTCCCTCCCAGGGGCTGCCTCTTTACCCAGGCTGCAATTTTCTTTGAATTTTATGAAAAAGAAATAGAACGTGAAAACTATTTCTTGGTCTCCACTTTTCCTGCTGCTGCAGGCTGGGAGACATTCAAGAAAGTTCTCAGGAATCGCCACAAAAGTGGATGCTGCTGCTGCAGCTGCACCAATACCAACACCAACACCAGCGACAGAAGGACTAGAAACCCAAAAACTTCCGCTTGTCCGGTGATTGCAGGGTAGGGGGTAAGGGAGTTGCCCAGAGGAGCAACTGCCAGGATTTCCCAGAGAGATGGCAACTTACAAATTTAGATTACGAGCGACACACAATTGCCACACATGTTTGCACAAATGCTGGCAAGATTGTTTAATTTCGTTTAATTAAATTGCAAATATTTTATTGTTGCAACACAGCATTTCTCTCCTTGTAGACCTTAAATTCTCTGTGGCAACATATGGGTGGGCGATGCTGCACCACCCAATGCCACAATAACCAACACCACTGCAGCGCACAGCGCACAGCACACAGCTGCAGTGTACGTGTGAGGGCTTTAAAGAGAATTTTCACAGATAAAAATTCACAGAATTTAAAACAGCTTCCATGTCGCGTGTTAAAGTTAAATTTTGAAAGGATTTTCCGCGGTTGAATGGGCTGGCCATCGATCGATTGTCTTGGGGGATTTGATTGCCCTAATGGGTATAGATATTCATACCTTAGTATATTATATATATAGTAGCACGATTCGTGATGGGTTCCATGGGTTATCTTCAACGGTGTAGCAAGCATTTGAGCAGAAAAGTGAGATTACTTAGGGGGATTAGCACCACCACAACCCATTCCGGCAACATTCCGCTGCAGCACTTTTATCCACTCGAGTGGTTAATTACGTTTGATAGCCACTAAATCGATAAGCAATCATCATAATGGCATTCCTCGACACCTCTATAAATATTGAAAGTGTCAAGCACTTGATGCTAATGCAAATTCAGTTCGCTTCCAGCCATGTCCGGTAATCCCATGACTCAATAATTCACTTGACCACCTCAACGAGCACTTGATTGGCTCCACTCCAAGAGGGGGGCTGGGTGGTTGGAATAGCTCAGTCATCTCCCTGGCACGACCTTGGCAGTGCAAAACAAATCCCCCCCGCCAACCACCACAAGAAGTAGAAAACGGCATCGAGTTCAGATTTGAGGTGTATATGCCCCTGGCCACCCCTCTCTCACTCACTCTCTCTCTCTCTCTCTCACTCCCTGTAGTGGTGTTTCTCTGCCATCTTTCTTGCTGGCGTTTTCCACCACTTACTTTGTGTTTCTTTTGAGTGCCCCTTTTAGTTGTTTCTCTTGTTGTTATTTGTGTTTGCTCTGGCTGCTCTGGCAACAGCAAAAACCGAACAAGAAAAACACTTTTAGCACGCACTGAGGAGGAAAACCAATAGAGCAATGCTTCAATGCGAAGCACCTCGACAAGCTCGGACTGGAACAGACCCCCAGCGAGCTTCTTTGGAAGGGAAGAGGTAGGCAATAGAGAAGATTTTAATGGAGAATTCTCTTGAGTGTCCCTGTGATCTGGAATTTTCCTAATATCAAAACTATCTTCCCTAACTACAAGCAATTCCCAGCAATTCCTTCAATCTGCAGTTGTGGGGGGACCTCTTCTGGCTGCCACACCAGGTGTGGTAATTATTCATACCCTGCCCCTGGATAGCACCCCACACATTTCGCTCATATTCATTAATCCATGATGACATCTCATAAAATTTTAAAGCATATTTACGGGCGGCTGCTCATTATTTTGATGCGCTTTGGCAAATGGATGGGCCCAAATGGATGGATGGGTGGCGTGGTGTGGTGTGGTGTGTTGGATGCAGACGGAGAATAGACGAGCAGTTTTTGGAAGGCAGAGAGAGCTGAATAACATGAAAACTGGAACCGTG